CTAGGGGGCAGGTCCCATTCCTTGGATCAACTCAGTGGCTTCTTCAAGAAGCCAAAGCCAGCCCTGGCCTGCCAGCTCTCAACCCCGGGACTAGCATCACTGTCCACATACGTTTAAGTGAGGGGAAAAGGCAGGCCTCTGGCATGCTAGCTCCTTGTTCCTCACTCTGCCCAACTCTTGGCCCATAGCTGATGGAACCCATGTGGCCCCAGTGTGGGCCAACATCTCATGCACCTGTTTTGCAGGGCCAAGCCCAGCCCTAAAGGAAAGACTACTCCACTTTCATAGATTCAGATGCTAGGGTTGGAAGAGACCTCAACAGATCATCGAGTCCGACCCCTGCCTAGGCAGGAAAGAGCGCTGGGGTCAGAGGACCACAGCCAGAGGCCTACCCAGCCTCCTCTTAGAGACCCCCAAGGTAGGGGAGAGCACCACCTCCCTTGGAAGCCCATTCCAAATTTTGGCCACCCTTACCATCACCGCCTGTCTCCCTGGCATGCAGGATCCAAGCTGGATGCCATAGAGGGATGAGAACCACCAGCATAGTTCATTAGTTCATGAGATTAAGTGAAGGGCCCTGTGCCTATGCTGCTTGAATAACTGGGCCCCAGCTTCTGCACTGCGCAGGCAACTTTGATAGATGCAGTAGGGACTGGGCTTGTGCCTGAGCCCTTCACCCCCACCAGGGGCTTCACATATTTCCAACGTCTTTTGGCGGCATCCTAGGTGCCGGCCCAAGCCCAGATGCTCGGGGTTCGGATGCTCCCAAGTTTCTCTTGCCCTCAGCCCTATGGCCGCAGGAGCAAGCTAGGGGGGAGCCTCCCCTTTCCACCGTGTGGGCTTTAAGCCCCAACAGCTCTGGGGGTCCTGAACCGCGCCGGGAGAGCAGTTATCCCCAGGAGCTTAAAGCAAACTGCCTTCCTGGACCCAGACACGTGGTGTTTCCCCTGCCAGGTAAGTACTCCCCCAGCTGGGGAGCCCTGCAGTCAGGAGGGACAGTGGGAGACACTGCTTCCAATCCAGCCTGAGACCACAGCCCCCAGGAGCCAGACGCGGAGGTCAGCAGGGCTCGCTAAGCCCCGCAGTCCGACCTCTTCAACAAGACAGGTCACCGCGCGGGGCGGGCGGGGAGCGGAGCGAGCAGGCAGGTTGCTGGGCGCCCGGCGACACTTCCGCAGCTGCGCTGTGTAGCCCCGCCCCGCCCCGCTCGACGTCATCAGCCCGCGCCGCAGGGCCGGTGACGTAATTTATGCGCAGCCCCGATAGGTGAAGGTGACGGCGCCGGGAGGGCGAGCGCCCCTGCCCCGATGGCCGCGCGCCAGCTTATTCTGCTTCGCGGGGCCG